AAAAAAAAAAAAAAATGGTAATAGAAATTATTATTATTATTTTCTAATTAGCCGTATGATTATGTTATATTAGTCTAACCTATAATAATTAGATATCTGTCAATCACAAATTAGATTTGATAAAAAAAAACCTCATACAAGTAATAATTTTGATAGAAAATCAATTTTCTTTTTAATGAAATTACATGTGAAACCTTATCCAATTATATTAGTTAAGCTTATCTATCAAAATATATAAGAAATAAAATAAATAATTTATCAGATATATATTTTAATCATCGACATTGCATGCATTTTTTTACAAATAAAACAATTTTTAACTCGGTAAAATATCAATTATTTATACTAGATTATCTCTGTCTTTCATTACACAATTTGATAACGCCGATACAACTTGAGGCTAGTATCCGACGTTCAATTCTTTCATCTCTTTCATTTTGTTCATAATCGTTTCATTATATTGTTATATTGTCGGAACATCTTAGTACTACCGTACGAATACATTAAGGTTCCGTTTTCTTCCGAGGCATCCCAAATGGTGATGACCGAGAAAGAAAATTTTACACGAGTAACAAATCTTAAAATGAAAAGATTATTACAGAAAATCTCATGATATTTTTTTTTTTTTTTTTTTTTTTTAAAAAAAAAAAAAGGAAAAGAAATTTATAAAGAAATTTCTTGAATAATAATAATAATAAACGATATTAAAATATAATTAATATAATTCAATTAATTAATTCAATTCATTTAACATTTTTTTTATCTTAGGAAAAAATCTTCAATCTCGTCTCACAAACAGGTCATAAGATCAAATATGCAATGATTTGAGAAATTTCTGCGGATTATTGACGGGTCATTTGATCTTTGGGTTACTGAATTCCCGCATGTAGATCGACATAACATTTAAACTGTGAGGTCTTGTTCGGATTGATGCGTGCATGCAAAAGTATCAAATGACCAACCATTACATGAAAAAAAAAAATGGATTTTGTAAACATTGTAAAAAATTTATAGATGGATAATTTGATAAATGGATAAGATAACACCATTTAACTTTCTTGGGTATAAATTTTCCCAGAAATTTGGTACATAATAATATAAGGTAACATTTTATTATTATAACGTTATTTATTATTATTAATTATTATTATTATATTATTATTATTATTATTATATTAAATTATATATTAATTAATAATATAAAATAAAAAAAAAAAAAACTACCCATAGTTTTTTCTTTGTTCAACTTACCCCAAATAATTACTTTCCATTATTAGACATTAATGAAAGAAAATGAAAAACAAGCGGAAATTTTCACAATTAACTCCTTTTTTTTTTATTACAATCTGAAGCAAATTAAACAATAATTGATTATACTATTTTTTTTTATTTTTTTTGTGCGTGCGTCTTTGTTATTTAATTTCACTTAATTTCTTTTTTTTTTATCGCAAAAGATCAATATCTAAAGATTAGATCTAAATAGATCTACCATAAAAGTTAAAATAGTTAATAAAGTTCCCGTTCAATGTGCATTATCGATTTATTTGCATATAATATTATTAAAAGAAACCAAAACTTTTTTATAAAATAAGAATCGAAAGTAAAATCAAATAATCGATAATGACAATGAAAAAATATTTGCGAAATACTTGTGATATTTTTTTTTTTTTTGAAGATGTATGCCTTAAATGCGTGTAACATATTGGTATGAACATCTTGCATCATCAACATAAACAATATATATTAAAAGAAGAAAATGGTTTGCCATTAATAGTAAGTCTTATCTCATATCTTTTTTAATAAAATACCTGTTTGTGGCAAGAAATAAATGAAAAAAGATTAATGATTATTATTGAAAAAAAAAAAATCTCACAAAGATTGATTTTTTTTTTTTTTTTTTCTTTCAAATAAACAATCCTAACGTAATGTAACACATTTAAATGAAATAAAGACTTTTCCCCTTTTTTTCTAATTTACCGGATTTACCAAATTTACCAAATTAAGATTATTGATTCACCACGAAAAAAATGAAGCTGTTTATTATATTTATTGAAAGGTTAAATTCATAAATTTGTTAATTTTGGTAAAAAAAAAAAAGAAACGTACAATTCTTATCTTTATCAATGCATATATATATACTGTACTTTATACGTTTACTCTCTCATTCACACGCGTTAATGAGTAGTGACACATGACGTAATATCGTAATGACATTTATATCATTTATATATCGGAATTCCCGCCATCACCTCGCGTTTTTCCTGAAAATTAGTATATATTTATTATGTCTAATTCCTTAAAAAAGTTATCGTATTTGATGGTATATTGTACCTCTAAGATAAAATAATAAAACGGTACAACATAGATAAGATACATAGATACAAAGGATACAAAGATACAATGGTTCAAAAAAAGGTAATTCCCCAAGAAACCGGAGAGAAACGGAAAAAAAACAAGAAGAAACACAAATAGATAGTAAACCAGCCACAAAAATTTAAATATCAAGTGTTAAAGAATAAAAAAGTTCATTTAAAAAAAACTTTGGTATCGGTAGATGGCGCAGCAGGCATTATCGTATGTATAAATAATAATAATGATAATAATCACTATTTCCCCACGTTTTTGATAAGCCCATAAAAGTAAATATTGTAAAATAAAAATTTTTTTAACCCTGAACTTACTCAGAGTTCCCACTGATTGTGAAACTTTAAAATAAGTTTAGTTACTTGCGTCATATTTTTTTATGTAATAAACACGAGATTAGGATAAACTTCTTTTTTCTTTTTGTGGCAGATCAATAAAAAAGAGATCATTTGTGATCTATTCCATTTTAAGAAACTTTCAAATATTTATACCTTAGTAAGTATTATCGTAAATTTCAAAAAAAGACCGTTTGTGAAATTCCTATATAACTGTACATATATATATATATATATACTTATATTAAATATATGTGTGTTTATGTATGTTATATAAATAATAATATGATTATTCAATGAATTAATAATAAAATAATTTATCATTGGTGCATCAAAAAAAAAAAAAATTATTTTTAAGACATTCACGCTCGATCCATTTCTTTTTTTTCATTTTGTGTATGCATAAATGAAATCATAGGGTTAGTTAACCCAATTTGAATCATTTTTACCCTTTATTATAATTCGTACAAAGTTTTAAATATGGACATTCCCCGAAATTTTTAATCTCGTGATCTAAATTTACTCCGCAAAAATTTCAAATTAAAACATTTAACTAACCCCTAATAATAAAGTTTTCTAGCATATATTCACGTGATAACTCGTAGATCGCGTTGAAAATGCGTTAAAGCCGAAACATTTCCTTAAATGATGTACAATTGATTACTTACCCCCTTAATTCTAAACTTTAGAACAATGTATTCGCTTTAATTACATAATTAAAAATCGTTATCACGTAATTGAATTCTTTCTTTCTAATCATATTTTAATTAGATTATGTTACGATTTCGTTAATTGACATTGACGATACTACAAGATAGTTTAATTCAGCTAACCTTTACTACTTATTCTGTATGAACCACTTAAAGCAATCGATATAAGTAAATATAATACTTTGTTATTATTACCGTTAACTCCAGATTATTATCTATTGCGAAATTTCAGGGGTTCTATACACCTATACCGGAAGAAAGTAAATGCTCATAATTATACTGGAGTATTATCTGTTATAAGGTTAACAGCTTCAAAAGATATTAATCAAACCTTCAGCACATACCATAATGTCATGTGATAATGGAACAGTACGATACGAACTTACTCCCTTCACATGAATATCAAACATTTACCATTTTTTTACATATCTTTCAATGAACATTAAATCGCGTCACCAGTTCATTTGACCGTAATGTGTTATATTATCCTAACCTCAAAAGGTTAAATAATCTGTCGATCCATAAAAATGCTAATGCCGGCGTAAAGTGAGCGATAGGCGAAATAAGGAACGATGTAAATTTTTGTTACACCCATAATTAAATCCGAATTCATACAAGGTATATACGAAATGAAAAATTTTCGCCCTCGAATTTCGCCCAATTTTGCCGTATCTAATTATTTTTACCATTGCGAATCTAGTAATGATGATCGTTTTTACTACTTTTATTTTAACCTTTCTTTCTCAT